ATTTATTATTTGATATTAGACCAGCAAAAATGACGCATTTTACGTTTTTTTTTTGTGATCTGATTGAAGCGTAAAAGATTTTCATTTCAAGCAGGTAAGGCTTAGAAACGGGCAGAAAAGTATTCTGATGTTGATTGGAATAGTTTAAGACCATTTCTGTGGGAGAAGAACCGCAGTAGGATGATAATTTGTAGACAGTAAGTCGGATGATTTTCGGGATGTGAATATCGTTGAATTAAAGGGGGAGGGGTTAGGGATAGGGATAGGGATAGGGTTAGGGATAGGGCTAGGGCTAGGGCTAGGGCTTAGGGATAGGGATAGGGTTAGGGATAGGGCTAGGACTAGGGCTAGGGCTAGGGCTAGGGCTAGGGATAGGGATAGGGCTAGGGCTAGGACTAGGGATAGGGCTAGGGGATAGGGCTAGGGCTAGGGCTAGGGTTAGGGATAGGGTTAGGGATAGGGATAGGGATAGGGCTAGGGATAGGGCTAGGGCTAGGGCTAGGGATAGGGTTAGGGATAGGGATCGGGTTAGGGATAGGGTTAAGGATAGGGATAGGGATAGGGATAGGGTTAGGGATAGGGCTAGGGCTAGGGCTAGGGCTAGGGCTAGGGCTAGGGCTAGGGCTAGGGCTAGGGCTAGGGCTAGCCAGGCTAGGGATAGGGTTAGGGCTAAGGACTAGGGCCGGTGAACGCCACACATAATGGGCATGGGATTACATGACGTTGTACAATGATCATGTTTTCTCTCAGCAAACTGAGTAGCCCAAGAACTAGGTGTCTATATAGGTGTAATCGTGTAGACGTATGAAAGCTTGTCTAAATTTCAACTGGATTAATTTAAATTAATCCAGTTGAGGTTTAGACAAGCCTGTTTATGCAAGATATCTGATAATTCATAATGTTACATGTATCTGATATCTGATATATACAGTAATACACATAATATTTTTCTGTCCTATAGGCTGTAGTGGACCAGTTAGAAGGACAGACCATGCAGGTCAACATGTTTGATGAAGACCCTGGCAGCAAGGACGACCCACTGGGAAAGTGAGGCGCTTTTAAATCATTTAATGTTTAATCTGAATTTTGTAATGATTCATGCATTGAGGTGAAACAATATTGTGTAAACTTTAAATGAAATGACAATATGGCCCAAATATAGCTTTAACATTTATAGAGATTGTCGGTCCATATTTGATAACTTGATTTTGTATTTTGTTGCCAGTGCTGCAGTCAGCATCTCAGAAGTGGTGAAGATGGGATTCAGTGATATGGTGAGTTACAAAATCGTATTCTGCGTAAGAAGGCTTGTTGCAATGTGTTTAAGTGTGCCTTGTCATACATGTACCTTAAAGTTTTCCTTAGTTTAGACATTTGTTCATGCCCATGTTGCTGAATCACATTCAGTAATTTCATACCTCCTGTCTTGTAACATGTCCTTGTTTCTTAAGTGGCATGGAAGTATTATTTTATTAATTACAGTATCTAGTGAAGATACCCCTACTACATGACTGTATACTTGGTGACAGTGATTTTCACTCTGCAATAGTTCAAGGGGGAAAAGTGAAGAGGAAATGTGACAGTCAAACCAGTAAACGTTTGTTTGTTTGTTTAGTGGTTGCCGTTGGGGGATGCGACGGCAGGCCAGAAGAGGAAATGTGACAGTCAAACCAGTACTAAACATTTGTTTGTTTGTTTGTTTGTTTGTTTAGTGGTTGCCGTTGGAGGATGCTACGACAGGCCAGGTGCACCTTCGGATGTCGTGACTCAGCCTGAGCTCACAGATGGAGGCCCTGGATAAGGTATGCCCCCTGCCTGATCACTAACGTACTGCAGGCTATGCTCTCACTATGGCTGTGATGATCACATTGGAAGGCATAAATTGGGAAACTGGTTAACATCTGTGTCCATAATATCACCAGGGTCCATAATATCGCCACCTTGAGAAACAGTGTGCTTAAAGATATTTTTACTGCAACATACCCTAGGTATGGACATTTGGTGTGTGAAGGAGTGCATACCAAAAGTATGTTGCAGTAAAAATATCTTTAAGCACACTTTTCTCAAGGTGGCGATATTATGGACACAGACATTAGAGTCTGACTAAAAGGGACATTAAAAATTTTGTTGCAACTTTTTTACTGCGGAACTATTTCACACAGTTCGTCTCCAATTTAGAGGAATGGGAAGAAGTACTTTCGAAGTTGAAGAAACTGCCCTGTGCCAAATTGCATGCAAAAAATCTTGTACATTTGCATATTACATGACTGTAGATGGTGTATTTTCTTGCATTTGTACTCTCTATTGGGCTACGATGTAGTAACATTGCATTTTTGAATATCAGTTTTGATTCAATTTGTCATGATTTTATACTTAAAACCATCAAATTTGTGCTGCAATGGTCAATTCTGTAATTGATATGCTCTGTAATTATTGCATTTTTTTTACTAATTTGCTTTGATTGATGTGAAATGATTGTAGAATGTAGAAAATGCCAATGAACTAATGAAACCTGTGCTCTGATCACCAACGGTGCTACGCTGCGGATTCTGCTTGCTTTGTGATGCCTGCACCCAACCTTAACTTCATCGGTAAGTTTTATTTAATTTAAAACAATGAGGGATGCTTTTTGGTTCAGGCAACAAAAATGTGATACTATGGATGCTATCAATACATCTATATGTATCAGAATGTTTACCTTCACATATTGTTTTTGCTCTGTTTCTTGATCTTCTTGATCCAAACAAATAAGGTCAATGACCTAGACCAGACGTCTGTCACCATGGTAACTGGTGCTGTAGCAGACACCCTGTGATGTTGGGTTACATTATGTAGCAAGTGGCTGGATAGAATTAGAGAGGCTAGTCACCATATACTGTATGTTTGATGAAGAATAAACAGAGCAGTAGTTTGGTGGGCTAGGCCATGTGAAGGTAAACATTATGCATTTTGCTTTGCAAATGTTACCTTATAGTTTTGGGGGTTTGGGGCAGGATTCTAGCCAGCTCAAAATCTTTTTCCGTCAGCCCAGGTTCATGTTTGGACCTGGGAGGAGAGTGCTTGCAATCTAGGGGGCATCTGGGGGCAAAATTTGGATTCTCAGAACTTTAAAAACACTAGTCTCCACTTTTAGAGTCAGGCAATTCATAGGGTTGACAGTGCTTGTCAGTTATCGTTTGGATGTTTTTATATTATTCCCCATTTTTTTTGTCAGTTTTGTCCATCAAGATTGACGGATAGGTTTAAAAAATTTCACAAAGTTACTGCAATGAATGTAAAAAACGGGTGTTGGCTAGAGCCTTGCTTGTAGGTTAAGCCTGTGGCCTGTGTGTGTGTGTGTCTGCTGTGTCTGTAGTATATAGAGCGTTGGAGAGACCGTTTGCGGGACCTGCGGCACAGCAACGTGATGGAAGCCATGTACACTAAAACCTTCCACCTCGCGGGACAGGGGCTGCCCGATACGCTGCGGGGAAGGCTCGACGAGGTAGCCGTGGCAACAGACACAAACAAACAAACAAACAAACTGACATGCTACCAGTCTACTCTCTCCTGCATACAGACTTCAGCCCTAAGTTTTTTTCACTACTGTTTTGAAGAAAAAGTGCTGGTCAAGCCCTGAAAACTTCCCTGCACAGTATTTAGAAAAATTGCTTGGCTGCAGTTTTCACATCAGTTGACAGGGGGCACTTCAGTACTTTGGCTGTTGTCCTCATTCATGGAAAGTTTTGAAGAATTATTTTCCAGTCTGTTAACCAAACTACAAAACTACACTGAGGAAACCTATCCTGGTTGGCATTTACATTTGGAAAGACATTTCAAAGGGTAAAACATTCTGGACTTCTGTGAAACTAACATGATGAAGACCAGGCCAGTGCAGTTTCAGTTTATTTCGCACTTTAAAACAAAATGTAACAATACAAATACAAGAAAATAGAAATGAAATGTAACAGTGCAGGGAGGCCGGAAGCATAAAAATGCTTATGAGGAGGCCTAAATAATTGCAAATAATTTGTTAACAGTTTTAAAAGACTGTCCCCATGTCTGTATGCAGAAGAGAACTGTACTGGGTTGATGAGAACAGGTATTGCTTGACTCCAGCATGTTTACTTCTGTGACCATCTACCAGATGCCAGGCAAAGGCGGAAAAGATTCTAACGCTCCCTTATTGGTTGTTTGGACAGCGGTAACCATGGTTACACAGCACGGCATGCTGGGAAGGAGGCGCGGAGGAGGCTCGGTTAGCTCCGTGTGTGTTTATGTGCCAACGCTCGGGAGAATTTATTTGTGGATGATAGAATATTACTGACAGTGTCCAGGGTTCTCACCAGGATTTTTTTACAGCGTAGAGGTCAGGTATAGAGGGGCAACTTTCTGTGGTGCAAGTCCCCAAAATATGATCACAGCAGGGGGTCTGGTATTCTTCCCACAAAATTTTGTAACTCATAACCCCCTGAGACACTGTTTCTTGCTTATTGGGGGACAGTTTTTGTTTTCCCTTTGCTATTATAAGCTTCATTCTGAAGTTATATTTTCATTTTTGAAAGACTTATGAAGCTTCTGCCCCCCAAAAACACCCCTACGCTGGTTGAAACACAGTGTAGGGGTTCAAATCACAGCGTAGGGAGCGGCTCAGCCCCTATGCTCAAACAGCCTGGTGAGGACTATGTACACAGTGTGTGGATAGCTCAGGAACAGTATATTTGCATGCAGTTTGAATTTCTGGAAGACAGATGCTGAAGCAAGAATTTTGTGCACATTTTGTCTGAAAACTGGTCTTGTGAAGATTACAAAATGGATGAAAATTCACAATAAACATGTGACATGTACAATACTTTTTGAAGCATTTTTTGCTTGATATATCATATGATCAACCTGCTTTGCTTTGTTGTTTTGTCTCCTGTGGAAAATGTCCATGGACTTTCCAAGTATGATTTGTCCATTTTGCCTGCCATGTTGATGACTGCTGAGTGTCTTTATTGGGAATGGGAAAGTGAACGGGGTATATTCAATTTGACATCCTTGCATTTTGGTGTGATTATCGGTACTTTTGTCGTTGCATGTTTGCTAGATCTTTGGGGTGGTCCCTAAGGTTCACCTAATATTCTCAAAAGATGGGCTGGAAACAGTGAACTTTTGAGGCAACCCCTGGGATATCTTTTGGGAAACTGAACTTTTGAGACAACCCCTGTGATGTATGAATCATGACTCAGAGTCACTTGAGGTTGGTTCATGTCTTTGACCTTGTATCATCTCATACCACAAAACTTAAGGATGTTTAGGAAAAGTCTGAAGATACCTGAAGCTTTCTTGAATTTTTTTCTGACACCTGACTGTAAAAGAAGTAAGAAGACAGTTTCTCAAGGAGCTGGATAGATTTTGAAATGTTGCTTGAGTACCTGTTTTCTTTTGCGTCTCGTTACCTGGACCTATCATTAAGGCCACACCAATATAATTTGTTGGTTCTCCGATTCGCCTCTTCATTTTTTTTCTGATTTGCAAAAAAAAAAAAGATTCTGGTTCTGAGTCAATTCAAAAATTTTGCACCTGACAGTACTGTTGAAGAAAGTCCCTTTCTTCCTCATTCCTACAGTTTTTCTATTTATCAATGCAGTGGTATGATTAAAACTTCAAAATTCATTGTTCAAATTTTAAACCTGCCTGATATGTTGACTTCATGGCTACTATTTTTGCATTTGGGTCTATTGTAGGATGCTCAGGCCTTATTTTTTCCCCATACAAGACATGAAGCAAACCTAAGACATGTTACAAACTAAGGTGAAGATGTCTCGAGTGTCTATAGTAAGACAGTTTTCCTTCCTTGCAGAGTCTTGATCAGACGGAGAAAGTGAAGAGGATTGCTGACGCTGACGCCTTGTCGTCTGCTCTACTGGTGGTGCGCGTGGATTCAGCCAAGAACTTGCCGGTAAGAAACAAACAAACAAACAAACAAACAAAACACAAAAGTACAGCCTTCTTGCTAAGGTGTCAGGATTAGTAAAGTTTAACGTCTTATAGTAGCTTACTACGTATGAAGGATAAACATATATATTAAGTTTTTATTTATTAATATGCAGTAAGGCCACCCCAATGTCTCTTGCTGGATCTTTGATTTCCAGTAGATTTCTGAAAATTATTACAAACTAATGGATCGGTAGATTTGAAAGTCTACTTTAGGCCACACCAATTTAATTTGTTGGTTGTCGGATTTGCCTCTTCATTTTTTTCTGATTTGTAAAAAAAAAAATTTGATTCTGGTCCTGAATCAACTGAAAAATGCTCATGTTTTGCCCCCAACAGTTGAGGAAAGTCCTTTTCTTCCTAGTTGTTACAGTTTTTCCATCTATCATTGCAGTGGTTTGATTAAAAGTTCAAAATTCAATGTTTAGATTTTAACCCAGCCTTTTGTGTTGACTTCATGGCTCATTCCGTAGCATTTAAGCCTATAATGGGATGCCTAGACCTGTTTTTATTTTTATTTTTTTTCGCCCTGTCGCTTCATATTTTTTCTTAAAAAATCCGAGAACCATCAAATAAAATTGGTGTGGCCTTATTGTGATGTAATAATTGTTCTAGGGGAGTAAATGTAGTCAGATTCCAGTTTCCTCTCAGTCTTCTGTTCATCTTGTACTCTTGACAATTTTTTGTTTGTTTTAAAGTGTCTGAGATCCAATAAAACACATTGGTGTGGCCTGAGAAAGAAAATAATGTGAACGTGACTGTCTCTTTGTCTCTGCTCTTTTCTATCTCTAGTAGTCATACACATTCAATTATACAAACAAATTAAGTGTAGTTTAGACATTTC